ATGTCAACGGAATAATAGAAAATCAAAGAAAAGATGACATCATCTTTAATATAAGGGTTTATTTGTGGGTTTCTGTTAAGTAGAGAGGTAAATTTGCACTACTTTTAAATAGAAGGGCTGATATGCCACAATAAGTAAAGGGGCTGAATTGCACCTACTGTTACTGCTTTAAAAGGAGGTCGTGTAACTCGATCGTGTCATTTCCCATCCTTCATAATTCTGCTAATCAATAACCCAATTTGCCTATCAGCCTTGTCTGTGAATCCCTCTGACCACCAAAATGGCGGATGCTGTAGTTTCCTTTGTCCTAGACCTGCTAAAGACAACCATCGTTGACAGGGCCTCTGAAGAGGTGGGGCTGCTAGTTGGTGTTGAGAAGGAAGTGCGAAAGCTTGAAAGAAATCTTCGTCTCATCAATACTGTTCTCCGAGATGCTGAGGAGAAGAAAAGAACGGACGATCTTGTCAAGGAATGGCTGGACAGGCTCAAAGAAGCGTCTTACGACATGGGGGATGCATTGGATGAATGGAGAACTACAGTAGAGATTGAAGTACTTGAAGCACAAAATGTTGCTTCTCAGAAGAAGGTAATCTTAAATACAGTAATTAATCGCAAGCTCTAGATGCATTCATTTAATTCAATTCTTTGGAATTATGATGTCTTACAAAACATCAAGTATTTCTAAAATATTGAATTAAATACTATCAATTTTAAACAGGCAACGTGCAATTTCATTTCGTGCTTTTCTATTCGCCGTGTTTATACCCATCGTAAAATTGCACTCAACATAAAGGAAATCAATCAAAGATTAGATGATATTGTAAAGGAGAAAGAGAAGTGTCAGTTGCAGCTGATGTCAATAAGTAACACAATCAATCATCCTCAACAACGGCCAGAAACTTCGTCTTTTGTGGATGTGTCAAAACTATGTGGCCGAGGTATGGAGAAGGCAAAAATACTGAACTATTTGTGGGGAGGGAGTGGTGAAGAAGAGGTTGGTGAACTAATCCCCACCTTATCTATAGTAGGGATGGGGGGCTTAGGAAAGACTGCTCTTGCACAACTAATATATAATGACGATTATGTTAAAGAGCATTTTGACAAGGTAATCTGGGTTTGTGTCTCTGATCTTTTTTATGAGAAAAAAGTTGCAAGGGCAATCATTCAAGGGCTTGAAAAACTTAGTGATAGTACTGCATATGGCCTAGAATCGAATCCATTGCAGGTCCTTTTGGAAAGGATTTCTAGCTCTATCCAGGGAATGAAATATTTTCTTGTTTTAGATGATGTTTGGGATGGAAATAACGGTGAGAGGTGGGAAGGACTGAGAACCACTTTCAAATTTGGTGCCCCAGGAAGCGGAATTTTGGTTACTACACGTGATGTTGAAGTTGCAAAAATGATGGGGTCCTCTTCCTCACAAATCATTTTTCTGGAGAAATTGGGTGACGAGCAATGTTGGTCAATAGTTAAACATATTGCATTAGAAGGAAGGGATGATCAGAATTTGGAGAAAATTGGGAGGGAAATTGCAGAGAAGTGTAAGGGGTTACCGCTTGCTGCAAAAACTCTAGGAAGCCTTTTAAAGTCTAAAAGAAGCAAACGTGAGTGGCAAAGTGTCTTGAATAGTGAAATATGGAAATTAGAATTGGCAAAAAAGGAAATTTTTGCTCCTTTGTTGTTGAGTTATTATGATTTGCCCCCTCCAGTAAAGCAATGCTTTTTGTATTGTGTTCTTTTTCCCAAAGATCACACAATTTGGCATCATGTGATAATTCCACAATGGATGGCGATGGGATATTTAGGATCGGACCGTAATTCAGACTTGGAGTCAAAAGGGGAAGAGTACTTTCACATCTTAGTAGCCCGCTCTTTCTTTCAAGATTTTACTTTTGTTGAAGGGAATATTTATTGCAAGATGCATGACATAGTACATGATTTTGCTCGGTTTTTGGCCGAGAATGAGTTTAGGACATTGGAGATCAAGTCTGATCATTTGACTATAGATGATGAGTCAAAGCCTCGTCACTTGACAGCGATGGTTGATAAAGGGATCAATTTCCCTAAAATGATTTCTGGTACAGAAAAATTGCAAGCCTTTATAACGTTCACTGGGGTGGCTGCACTGACTTCTGAAGCCTTGTGTAGATTGTTTAATCAATGCAGATGCTTAAGGGTATTGTCTGTTGGTTTGCCCGATGGAACTGATCATTTATGTAAAGAAATTCCTGGAGGAATTGGTAAATTAATGCACTTGAGATTCCTTCACTTGCCTTGGAATAATCAATTAGAAGGGCTACCCAAAACACTCTGCAACCTACTTAATTTGGAGTATTTGGATTTGACGGGCTGCCAAAATCTCAAGCAGTTGCCAGATTCCATAGGAAAACTAATCAACTTGAGGTTTCTTTATACTAATGGTTGCCATGCTCTCACTCACTACCCAAAAGGTGTTCGGAAATTGACTTCTCTTAGACAATTAAGGGGGCTCATTGCTAGAGCTGATCGCAATGATTCTAAAGAATTCAGCCTTGTCGATCTTGAAAACTTGAAGCACCTCCATGAACTGCATTTGAAACTGGTGGGAAATTCAATCGATGAGGAGCAGGCTAGAAAAGTTGAACTTCGGAACATCCCGAAAGTTCGAATATTTTTGGCTGGGAGTATTCAAGAAGCAGACATAAATGAAGCCTTAGACCCACATAAAAGCACACTAGATTTAAAGTTCGTTGATGACTACTGTATTGACTTTTGAATACAAAAGGTACTTTATTTATCCAATCAAAAAAATAGAGTGCAATTCGCTTTAGGCAGATTCACTACACCATTAATATAGGGGGGTGGGCTGCCTTGATGGTTAACTATTGACAGACTGCAAAACAACATTCTGTTATCCCATATATGTGCTCTTTTTTAGTTTGCCCGATCAGAAATTAAATCATCTTATATATGTGCTCTTCAAATTGATATTTTTCTTCAAACATTGCGCATTTCTAATTAAGCTTACTA